ACAATAGTAAGAAATATATCTAATACACCAAGTATCTTCCCTAAAAAAATCATCCGCCGAGCAATAAACACATAGCAAATGTATTAATTAAGTTAAGAACAGATGCGCATGTACAATATACTCATTAGCCATTAGATTATTGAACATAAAACATAGCCTAAATTAAATATGCTTTCTTGGCGGAGCGTCTTGAACTTGAGATTTTGGTGGTGCTAGTGAAATTCCTCGGTTGTCAAAGATTTCATCGTCCATGAGAAGGTGGGCTGCTGCTGTTACAGGGACTGAGGCAAGTGGAGGAGATAACATCAATTGACCTTTACATGGTGGTACTTCTCAGGTACCCGGTCTCGAGACCCGGGGTGAAAACCTAGGTCCAGCCCTAGTTGGTTATACTTGGCAACATCGGAGTTTTACGTCGTTACGCTGTTGATGGCATTGCTTGGAGTTTGCTCGGACATGAACTTCAGGGTGCAAAACGCACGATCTAGCCTTCGGATGTTGGATCCAGCGATGAAGGCGTTTGTGTGTCTTTTCCTTCTTGGAGGCATTGCTTTTGGAGAATTCATGGTCGTTGTTTTGTCAAGTGATAGTTGGTGTCCTTGTTCGTTGTTGTGTATCGTCTACCGCTGTTTGATCGCTTCGGGTTTTATCTTTCTTTTTTTCCCCACCAAGGCACGGCTTCTGTGTTTTATGACTTTAACTTTTGCTGGAGTGAGGTTTTGTATGTTGGTGTTGGTTGTGTGCATCCTAACTATGCAGAGGATGGATGTTCACTCATTGTGATTGTATCCGCTTGATGCTTCGTTATGAGTCAATAAAGACACCCCTTATCAAAAAAATGTTTATAGATGCAAAGTGTAGTCGGATCTATTCATATGAATGGGCACTAGGCATATATTTGTCTCGGATGAAAACTCCTTTTTTGGTCTAGATTAGTTGGGATCGGCAGCTGAAGAACTTGTATCATTACCCTGCTGAAGGGATTGCCTCCTTGCTGTTGTACTAGCCTTTGGTGGTTGGTTACAGCAACCAAGATGGAAACTGTTGTCTTGGCTGTGTTCGGTTACATGTAGCCGCAGTAGCACAAGGGCGCTTATACCTTCTTCAATGCATTGCTGCAGAGGTTGATTTAAACGTAGGTGTTTATTTCATATCATATAATAGTACTATCGTGGTTGTCTTTGTTCCGATTCCCTCCGTTTGAAAATAGAAGGTTACAAAGACCAAAGATATAATATCCTTTAAAAAAATAAGCTAGATGGTTTTCAAATACCATCCACATTTCATAGAAATGGAATTCGTTGAGCAGTAGACATCTAAAACGGAGTGTCTGCTCACCTGCTACAAGACATTACTTTATATGCCTGGTTTCAGAGGATGGTGGAAAAGAGGTTTGTCTGCGCGCGCTCATGCGTGCGTGCGTGCGTGTGTGTGTGTGTGCGGGTGCATGTGTGTGTGTGCGCGCACACATGCACGTGTGTGTTTTCCTTCATGAGTGAGTGAAATTAAAACTAGAGTTAGGGGACCGAAATTATACTTTTGGTAATCTACACATGCCCATGTATAGGCTAACCACATACTCATTTGATTGCTTAATATAAATAATTTGAAGTTATACCCCAAAATACATTTTTTGTAAAAAGCCAAAGGCCATGTATTAAGTATCACAAATCCTTATAAACACATCCTTATTGGGAAATAGAAAAAAAAAATCAAAATCTTGGCGGTGCTGAAGTCTTCTTTCTCTGGCATTCACCAATGACGAGCCGTGAGCATAGCTCGACGCCCCCTATTTTGCGCCAGGTTAAGTGAGCAATTTTTTTGAAACCCGGGAGCTTGTAGAAGCAGCGGTCAAGTAGTCATCGATGCAGACCGGCAAATGCCGGTGGCCGCCATCTGCGAAGAAATTCAACGCTCCCAAAACTCCCACCGATAAGATTATGTAAAAACTCCAAAGACCACGAATACTACGAGATCCGGTCAGATCAAGACAGATCCACCGGAAACCTAAATGCTCCAGATCCAAGATGATGCACGGGAGACAAGCTGCACACGCCCTCTGCAAGTGAAAAACACCCTAACAGAACTAGGATAGGGCGGGGAGAACAATATTAGTACCCTTGGGTAACGCCACCGTTCCGCCACCCGAAACCTAACCTAAAGAATCCTTAATGGAAGTCTGGAGAAAAACACACATGCCGTTGTACGAGAGGTCCGGATCTGATGTCGAGCTCGCCACCGGCTTCTTCGATGATCCAACCAAACTAGACCACCGGTGAAGAGATGTCCATGATGGGTCCTCTGGCCTCTGCCGGCTTCACCAATGCCGCCATCGTGCACCACGTGACGAAGGCCTCTGGTCGATCACACCTCTCCTTCCCCGTCCCACAACAACCCTCCAGCGATTTCGTAGTAGGGCCCTTGATCTGGACCTCCCGCAGCAGCTAGCGGCTCGGGCTTTGCTCACAGCGATGCATCCTGGCGGCGGCGGCTAGGGTTAGCTAGTCACCCGGCTATCGGCTCGTCAGAAAACAATTCATGTAGCTCTCCCCAGGCCGGTTTTCCACTGCAAACAAAACCGCAAAACCACACGCTGCTGGGCCGATCGCATATGAGACCTCGCCCTGCTAGTTGATCAATTCATAGTGGCAGCACCCACCCATTCATGACCTACTGTTTGTCATAAGATATTAGGGCTGGCCGGCTGGTGCGCATATTCCCATTGTGGTGAGCTGTTCCCTAATCAATGATTGTTTTTTTTTTAATGTGGCCAAGATTAAGTCTACGATCTCTAAGAATGCCATGTTCAGCGCAACATCATATGGTGGATATAGCAAATAATTGATAATAATACAAGCCATGTCCATTGACTAACTACACACAATAGTTGGATGGCTTATTTCACGAATAATTAATTTAAAATTGTTCTGTCCAAATTTGGTAAAATAAATTTCCAATACCAATAGACTGTTTTGAAGAGAGAAAAAGTCCACTACTAAAGGGCGGAGCTAGCGTGAAAAGCATCTCTTGATCGAAAAAAGAGTGAAAAGCATCTAGCTCATTTCATGGCATTTAACTTTATTATAGCACTGTATGTAACTAATTATAAATATGAGGACTGGAATTTGAAGACCATCTTATTCCTAATCTTTTAGTTCACCAATGTACAGTAACATTATGGACCTTGTAAACTATTTTTTTTTGGAAAAGAAGGATGTACCCCCAGCCTCTGCATCTCGATGATGCATGCAACCATTTTATTAATTATTCCCGAAGACCATACAAGGTAATACATCAATAACCCTGAAGCCACCATCTTGGCAACGCCTGTTGCTACTCCTATTCCGGGTGCCGAATGTCCGAGCCTAATACCAAACAGACATCACACCAAAGCTTAACATCTAAAGCCGGATGCCCCATCCAAGCCACTACCTAGACTGGGTCACACATCACTCCGGCACACTCCTAGTGAGCACGCACGCTGCAAGGGCCGTCCCCTCCATCTTTCATCGATACATCCTCAGAGCAGAACTGATGCATCGACCTTACCAGGCCTCTTTGCTGTCAACGCCACCATGACGCCTGACATCGTCGCCCTCGTGCGCGGGTACGTCAACCCGCATCGGACGCCGAACCTCCACTGCGCCACGCCGCAGAGACCCGCCGTCATGGATGCGGAAGATGAAACGCCGCTCCGCCTCTGGGCCCTTCCAATCAGCACCGGCTCCAAAACGATGCCCTCAAGAGGGAGAACGGCACCATAGTTTCCGTCATCATCCGATCTGGTTATCTAGGGTTTCCCCCGAAACAGATGCCCCCTGGAGGAAGAGGGGCACACCAATTGCAGCTACCCACGAACACAACCCGTGCCCACGACCACATAGCTCTCACGACGCCGCCTTAAAAAAGGACACGACGCCAAGGGCATCGTTGCCGCCCTAGGATTTTCACCCGAGAAACCGTGGAGTGGAAAAAGGTGGGGCAGACCCAAACGACGTCTCCAGGAAGAGAAATGACACCCTCGGGCGGCATCACCGTCGCAGCCGGCATGAGCCGACCAGGGAATTATCCCAATCCGAATCCCCACCTCCCGCACCACCCCATACGGTGACCGGCAAGTAGCACATCCATGTCCGTTACTTGGAGGAAGAAGCAGTTCGGCACCGTTGGCCACCGAGGCAGCATGCAACGGCACCAAACTGCCGGTGGATCGCCGACCATCCGACCCAATCCCCGGTAGCCCGCCCGCCCGCCCCGCTGCGCCATCGGACAAAGATGCCAACCTCGAGGCCGCCGCCCCGTATCCAAGCCCTCTTCCCTAGATCGGGAGGAGGAGGGCCATCCCTGCCACCACAACCGTCGATACGACGCCGGCTAGCCGCCACACCGCCGTAGTCCAGATCTGAGCCATCATGAACAAGATCGGTGCTGCCGCAACCCAGATTGGGGTCACACCCTTGAGCCAGGGAGCCCCGCGTGACCCATCGACCCGTGAGAGGGAGGAGTTCCTCCGCCGCCGCTGGCGCACGCACAGGCTAAGCCCGACGCCTACCACCGGCGGCGACGTAGGGGAGGACCTTGTAAACTACTACATGCAGATGAATGTCAAGTGTAATTGAGAGCATGAATATTGTAGTATAAGAGTACTGCTTGTGATGATACCTGATGAGTGGTGTTTGGTTGTGCGTTCATCACAAATATTGACAATTTGATTTTAAACCGTGCCTTAACCTAGAAGGCAAGCATAGTATATGGTGAATTTCACAATGACGGGGTGAAGACAAGACCTGCTCGTCTCGCAGTTTATTTGTTTTTCCAAGTCCCACTTGCAGTTTCGATGTCATGGAGAGACAGGATCTCCAGCAGCTTCCTTTAAGAATGCCATCTCCCAGTGCTTCGTGGATGCACATTGCACAACTACGTACTCCAGTTAGCACGCACACCACGCAAAGAGAGTATTCTACACTCAAGCTAGCTTGGGGGAAAGGGAGAGAGAAGAAATGGCAGACCTGTTGTTTGGTTTGGCCAAGACGGTGGTGGAGGGGGCGCTGACCAAGGCCAAGGCGGCGATCGAGGAGGAGGCGACGCTGCGGGACAGCGCGCGCCGAAACTTGGTGTTCATCACTTTAGAGTTCGAGATGATGCTCTCTTTCTTCCAGGTTGCCAATGAAGAGCGCGTCAAGAACAATCTGGTGAAGACCTGGGTGGGGCAGGTCCGCGACCTCGCCTACGACCTGGAGGACTGCGTGGAGTTCATTGTTCACCTCGACAACAAGTCCACCTGGTATCTCCGGTTGCTTCCGTCCTGGATTGCACCACCGCTGCCGCTGGATTTGGCGATCGCGGAGATAGAGGAGCTGAGGGCCAGGGCCGAGGAGTTGAGCAAGTGTTACTTGCGCTACAGCCACATCATGGACTCTGACCCCAAGCTCGTCACGATGCAACAACAGTCATCATCCGCTGCCGCCGGCGCTGTAGCACTGAGTGTGCTCACCAAGGCAAGGGAAAGACAGCCGTGCTCTCAAGATCTTTCCCAGTTGATCACGAGGAAAGATGACCAAGAACTTCAGGTTGTCTCGGTGTGGGAGACAGTCGACAGTGACCTTGGTACAACATCCATCATCAGGAAGGTCTACAACGACGCATCATTCGTCCCATACTTCACCTGCCGTGCATGGGTGAAGCTCCAGCATCCTTTCAATCCCCACAACTTCATTCAAAGCTTGATGACTCAGTTCTATGCAAACTTATCTTGCAAAGGAGAACAAGAAAGAAAAACCATTGGCTTGCATGTCCTAACCAAGATGCAGGCCACTGGTGAAGACCTCTTTGAGGAGTTTGACCAGCTGATCACGGACAAGAGGTATCTTATCGTATTGGAAGGCTTTTCAAATATGCTAGAGTGGGACGCCATCAGGACGTTTCTTCCTGACATGAAGAATGGTAGCTGCATCATCGTCTCCACGCAGCGCTTCGAGATAGCAAGCTTGTCCATCGGACATTCGTACAAGCTAATGGAGCTAAAACAGTTCTCAGCTGAGCACTCTGTATGTGCCCTCTTCAAAAAGGTAACATATGGCCCGACACCTCATTTATCTCTCAGTGAATTTACTTTTTTTTACAATAACCTTGTAGTTTTTTAACGTGTTAGCGCGCGCACGCACACACATACATATGACAAATTTTATCTACCACCGGTGGTAGTTACCACCACTTGAGTTTTGTATGTTGTATGTAGTATTTATCAAATCAGAGAGTATATACACGTAGTATGTAGTAGATAAGAATATTTAGTTACTATATACACTACTTTTTAGGTACTATGCATTCTATTTTAAGTACGTCCCTTTTTACGTACAAATATGTACGTATTTCGCAAATATAATAAGAACCATGTGCCAACTTGTAATTTTTTCATGTAACTCATATTGAATTATATTATATATATAGTATATGAACATATTTACAATAATAAAGTAGTATATGAGACATGTGGGGTAACTACACCTAGGTGTAGTATATACTATCTCCGTTTAGGTGAATAAGTCATTTGCGTAGTTCTAGGTCATCGATTTGAGGAATTAAATATGCGTTATATATCATGAAAAGTAGATCACTAGATTTCTACAAGGATGTAGTTTCTAAATATATATTTTTTGTCACATATAATACATATTTAGATAGTTAAATTGTCAACCTAGAACTACGCGAATGACTTATTCACCGAGACGGAGGTAGTATAAAATACAAAAAAGCTATACTAAAAAAAATACCTTCACATTTGTATATATAAAATATTTAGGTGTAGTATATATAGCTTTTTGTATATTAAAAATATCTTCATATTTGTACTTATGAAACAATTACTAAAAAAATAGTACATCCTACCTAAAGATTAGAATATATACCACCTAAATATTCTTATATACTACATACTACACGTACATACTCTCGGTTTTGACAGATACCACATACAACATACAAAACACACATGAGGTTAACTACCACTGGGTGGTAGAAAATACCAGGGTTAGTTACCCTCATGTAAGTTTTGTATGTCATATGTAGTATGTACATGTACAGTGTAGTATATAAGAATATTTGAGTAGTATATATTCTACTTTTTAGGTAGTAATTAAATACTATACACAAAGAACTATGGACTCACATGCAATGTTTTTTCATATAACTTGCTTCAAAATATCTTAGATATAGTATATGAACACACTTAGAATGATAATGTAGTATGTGTATATATATGTATAATTATTGCAAATGTTTTGTGTGGCGATTTACGTTGTGGGAGGGTAGCAATTTCTTAGAAACACATCGGAACTTCTAGGAAAAAGGAAGGATTTGTGGCAAAAAATGGAAAGGAATTGCCATCTCCCACCAACGTAAAATTGCCATAAAATACAGTTGCTTGCCATGCCCTTCCGAGGGAAGCATCGCCAGATAACAATTCTTTTTTGTATCAATTGTACCACTTCATCCTTCTAAATATATCTCATTAATTATTCAAAGATACCTCAATAAAAGTGTTTTGAAAAAAAAAACATTGCAGCGTTTTGTATATGCTTACTCTTTTTATTTACAAAACAAGCATTCCATGTGCAATTAGTATGAACTATATGGGTTTGAAAAAAATTCTTGTGTAACCCCATGTGAGATATTCACTAATTATTAGTTAAATTCATTAAAAATGGTAAAGAGGTATAACCGACCCATCTATGTGCTATACGAGCAGAGGGAGTACTATACTCCCTAGAACTACGGAATTTCTCTGTTCTCCGAAATATATACCTGGCCCCAATTTAATATACCTATTAAACCATTTTTAACTGAATAATTGTGTTTGGCATAACCTAACAGACTTTGTAATCTAAAATTGAGGAAGTATAAACCTATGTGCGTAAGGAATAAAAATGTTCTTAAAAACAGTACATGTGCTTCTCCCTCGCCGTCCGCCGACGTGGCTGCGTTGTGGAAAGATGGGCTCTACGTGCTTCTCTGGCAGATCTGGAAGGCCAGGAACAACGCCACCTTCAACAACATTCGCTGCACCGCCTGTGATATCCTCGCGAGGACGGCCGACGACCTCCTGATTTGGAGCAGGCGCTATGACGCTCCGTCTCGGGATCGACTTCTGGCCATCCGACTTTTCTTTCTCTCAGTCCTCTAGACTGCCTCATGGCGGGTTTCTCTTTTTTTCGCTTCTTATCATGTTGTTTTTTATCTTTTCGATGAAAAACACTGTATGACTGCCAGGTCCTTCGAGTAATATAACAACCGGTGGGGCACAATGCCCCCCCGTCATTCTCGAAAAAAAAAACAGTACATGTGCAGTAGGTCTGCATGATGCCATTCCAGCAATGGGATGTAACAATGACTAATACTTTAAAACTTGGTTTGACATTTATAGTAGAAATAGTAAAAGCGTATATATTACAGAGTACTGAACTTGACATGCCCTCTCATCTTTGTTCCAGAACAAGTATAGTTGTGCTTATATTATATGTAATTTGCTTTTCTTTACACAGACACGAGATTCTCGAGGTAGCAAAACGATATGTGAATTTGGCCAATGTTCATCCTCTGGAAATATCTCGTCTAAAAAGGAAATACCCGAGTGGATGGAAAAATATCCACTTCTCGGACGGGTGTCGGAAATGAATATTCTTCGTCGCTATACAGCAAGGGCGTGCTTCTTTAGGATAAAAGTTATCTCTGTGTGGGGGATAGCTGGCATAGGGAAATCAGCTCTTGTCCGACACTTGTATCATGACAGAATTCTTGACGATCGCAGCCAATTTCAAAAGTATGCCTGGGTGGATGTATCACATCCTTTCAATATAAATGACTTCTGTCGGGATTTACTTTCAGATTTTCACTCTGAAAGGAACCCGATTGAAGAGTGCCTCCAGCTTCTAAGCAATTATCGGTGTCTGCTTGTCATCGATGATCTTCAGTCCATGGAAGAATGGAATATGATACGAACAGCCTTGCTACCTGAACCTTCTAGAAGTGTTATCATCGTCGTTACAACAGACGCAAACATTGCCACATATTGTGCGTCTACAAAGCTCGTGTTTAATGTCAAAGCTCTGGAAGCTGATGCTGCCTTCAATCTCTTCAAGATGCAGGTGTGTTTTCTGACGCATGTTCTCACAGATTTAATATAACAGTAGAAATTTAAGTTATCACTGTATGTGTAGGTGTGCATGTTTACAGCTACAGCATGTGCCGTCGGTTCACTAATGTATGAATGGTCTTTATATTTTATTTAATTCTGCCTCACTGGAGTTTGATTTGTAGTCCTTGAATCCATTAATATAGGTCCGCCTAGGGCACATATAGACGTGCCTTAGTTATTGCACATCTAAGTAATCCAATCAAGCACAAAAAGAAAAGAAAATGAAAAAAATAAACTGCGTGCATGAAGGCACCTTTTTAATGTTAATCCACATCATCAAGATTAATATAACCATTAGATTTTAATTTTAATGGTGAAGATCTGTTAAAAGGTCGTGCCTTTTTAGAAGCACTACGTACCCATGGCATCAAACCAACATGTACAAAAAATTAGGAGGCACATCAGGTAAAGAAAAGGGGTTCTCACCACGTACTTAAAGATTAAGCCCATGCATCCCAAAATAAAAGTCCTCAACAGCCACGTTACTTTCTAGAAGAAAAAATCAAGGCACAAAAGCGTTTTCACCACATACAAGAAAAGACACAACCTCATGAAAGGAGTTCTTACCACGTGTGTAAAATAAATCTTGCAAAGAAAACATACGTGCAACAAAAATATAAACTGACACGGCCGAGATGGAAAAAGAGTCCTTAACACCCACGTTAGTTCCCAGCAAAAAAAATATGTGCCTTCCCCTTGCAAAAAATATTACACGTACGAATAAAAAAGATCACACATCCTGATTCCCTTGAAAATAAAAATCACTTGCAGTCCTCATAGACAAAGAAAAACGACGTAGAGCAAGGAGTCCTCGAGCCTTGGCTAAAAAACCCGATCCTATGTTGGATTGAAAAATAATATTAAATCCCACCGTACAAAAGGAAGACCTAGCCATGATAAAAAATTAGGCACAAACATACAAATTTTTCTCACTAATAGCTCTATGATAGACCACCACTACCAATATGTAATATTTGGATATGTGAAATGCCTAATTTTAACACAAGTAGGAGAACAAAATAAATTGCCATGCGTAAAAATATATGAATATAAACCTTTTAATAAATATCAATTGAGGGAATATCATTGTTTTTGGTGTGTTAGGCATTAGCAAGAAAAACTATTGATTATTTCAAGCAGGATTATTACAACTGCATCCATTAAACTTGCAATTTTTAGGGGTAAACTACTTTTCAAGTATTACGGGATACTACTATCTAATTTGATTCTTGATAGATACATTCTCAACTAAGTATTAGATTTTATTGAAAGCTAAGTTGGATCACTGCCTTATGCACTACAAAGAAATATAGATTATGTTTCCGTTATGATTAGCATTGTAGTTGGGGTATATATATACGTCAAGACTGCGATGAGGTAATACAACCTGAAATTGGAATCGGAAACTAAACAGAACACATCCACCTAAACACCAGTCAGTATAATTATCTTTAAAAATATCTCATATAATTATTTAATTTACGCAAATATTTGATATAGACATCTTCTTTTGGATATGTCACTCAATGGAACACATTTCCACCTAAACATTAGTCTTTACAGTTAACTTTCAAAACACCATATATACCTCCTCTAATGATTTTTGATATGCAAATAATTTATACGTACATCACATTTGAAAATGAAACTAACCATGCAACATACCTCTCACTCTTCGAATTTTATTGAGTTGTAACAGCCTTTAGTCTATCTTTCTCTAACTTTATTAAGTTGGGTTATATAGGTCATATTAATTCGCAATTTATCGATTCCTTGGTAGGTTGCGTAAAATTCACAAAGATGTGTTTTTTGCTAATATGTCATGAAGGCTTCATACAGACCAATGATGACAATTTGTGGAATATAAATGAGAAAACAGATGCACTCTTTCCTATAGGGAAGCTTATAATACATGTGATTATTCTGTGTTGTTATTGTTTCATAATGTAGCATCTATCAAGTTGTATGATATCCAAAACTTAACACTTGGATTTTACAAATAAATATAATTTTATTAAGTACTATGTACCCCTATAATATCTAGGCCGTGCAGGTGCACGGGTAGATGACAAGTGACAAAGAATTTAGATGTGCATTACTTATGGCGCATCTAGATGTGCTTTAGCAAAACAAAGGTGTACTTTTTTTGGTTAAGAAAACTTTGACTAATAACGAGTCTATCTATTATATAATTAAAACGATAGAAAACAAACAGTTTAGATGTACAATACATTGCGCATCTAGATGTGCTTTAGCAAAACAAAGGTGTACTTTTTTTGGTTAAGAAAGCTTCGACTAATAACAAGTCTATTTATCTATCTATCTATCTATCTATCTATCTATCTATCTATCTATCTATCTATCTATCTATCTATCTATCTATTATATTATATTATTAAAATGATGGAACAAGAATGATTGAGATGTAACAATAGAAAAAGAACTAAAACAATGGCTGTGATTTGTAGGGAAAAAGTGCATATTCATGTCTCCTTATATATGTCTTCTCACCCCACACGTGTCCAGCATTGCTAGCAAAGAGCTGAATCCAGAATCCAAACAAAACAGTTGCTAGGATCATGTACTGGCATTGGTATGGCTGCATGCATCGACTGATGCAGAGGCCAGGGTTTTGCCTCCTTTTTCAAGAAAAAAGTACTAGAATTTGTTAGATCTAGCACTTCCTAATCTTTTTTTGCAGTGGAGTAGTTCCTAATCTTTATCCATGGTAGAGAAAGAACCAAAAGAATGTCTAGGATTTTTAGGAAAAAGTAAGTATGGATGTTCCCTCATCCCTCTTGTTTCCGACCAAATTAGCAAAGATACTAGTCGGAGTTTCTCAGAAAAAAAAGACATGAGTCAAAGTCTAAACAAAATAATCACTAGTTTTTTTTAATCTAGGACTTCCTAATTTGTACACAGGAGTCAATCCGACCCGTAGGCTAATTATCTATGATGATGTCATGCTGACATTAGAAAAGGCAGGAAGCATCAATTTTTTCTCTAATTAGCTACGTGCATAGGGGTCTATTTGACACATAGGTTAGTATTTCCGTGATGGTTTAGGATCATGTAATGGAAGGAGAGCTAAGAAAAAGAAATATGAATGTGTAATCGAAAATAAGACACAGAGATATTAAAGAGATGGAATATTTTAAAAATTAAAAAGATCAGAAAACACACAGACATAGGTGTTTTTTCTTAGAGGGAACACATACAGAGGTGTTCAATAAACAATGAGGTAAACTACACAGCATGAAATTTAGTGCATGAAAATGCATGAACATATGCTTAATGTAAATATAAAAGGATAGAAAAATAAATCAAAATGGATATAGCACCTGAGATTAGAACATAAAGATGTCAGACATTAATTTAATCACATACAAATGATTCCACCATAGGTCTACATCTATGGAGATGTAGAGCCATTAATATTAAAAGGTTGTGCATAACAATAATCACGTAAAACATGTCTATTATAGGCTAGGAAAAAACAAGATTGCATACCCTCGACAAAAAGTATAGCCATTTACCAACCTATACACAAAACAATAATTTTAGCCATTTACGTTTCAATTCACGAGGCATACACGGATTTGGACAAGACAAGACCTATCGGTAAATAGTAAGACAATACTTTTGCATGATGCATACAGGACAAATAATTCTGATGAGGTTTTTAGGACTCTTCAAAGCCAACGAATAATAGCAAGACAACATAAACTCAATAGTAAAACAAATGCAACTAAGCATGGCATACGCATCAATGAAGTTCTAGGAGAGAAATACATTAGTGTAGAAAAGCCTAGCAATGATGTTGCAAAAAGTGCCTTGTTAGCGTGGGAGCCAACGCCACCAATATAGCGCCATTGTTAAAAATTTGTGGTGGCATTGGAGCCCACATCAACAGTATATTACATGCTGGTGGCGTGCCACATGGCCAACGTAACCACTAGAATTTATCAACTAGCGACATCTAATGTACTATGCACGCCACCAATATTTTATGCAGCCAATTTTTTTCTGCACCACCATACACATTTTGCATCTCACAATGAAGCAGCACATCTAAAATGGTACACAATAGAACAACAATAATTTAATTAATGGAAAACATAGGTAATTATATAGAACAATATCAGTTGATAAGCAACAATTCACTAACACTAGTCATAGTCAACATGCATGCATACTTCTCATAGTGAACTAATAGTTAATAAACAGTCTACTTTAGAAACGAAGTAGCATCGATGGCCCAACCACACACATATGTTTAAATGATGTCGATGACGATCATCATCCACAAGTCATGGCGTCGAGTGTTCCTGATAGTGACTAAGACGGCCTATCCAACTTGAAGATTCTTAACAACGAGGAAGTTTTTCCAACGCACCAAGCTTAAAACAGTGGACCGTCCGTGTCCACTGCGTATGCACATGTGGTGATGGAGCCCTTGTAGTAAGGCGTACTCCATCATAGCCCGCTTCACCAGGCTAGATAACCTCTTAGGCAATTTCCGATGAATAAAAACATATCAATTAATTAGCCTCACACATACTCTCGCAAACATATCCTATAGATTTCCCTGCACAATGATAAATGCGCATGCCAAGGAAAATTATAAAAAAGCATACAATTCACATACATCATCGGATTCTACAGTACTAAATCGGGCTCTACTAAGTATGGATTCTACACTAGTAAGCAATCTATGGATTCTACACACTACTAAATCTAGTAAGTATGGATTTCTACGCTACACTAAACAAATTTACACTACTAAATTTCTACAAAGTATGGAATCTACAAAAAAAAAATCACACTACTAAAATTCTACACAAAGCAATCCATGCATTGTACACTACTAAATCTGATTCTACTATGTATGTATTCTACACTACTAAGAATTCCATGTATTATACACTACTAATATTGAACACAAATAAA